CTTTCGCCATATGATTGGCTCCTCCACAACGGAAGCACAAACGCTTCCTTCGAATGAGATCTACAGAGAGAGAAGAGGAAGGAACAAGAGGTTTCTGGAGTAACGGCGATTTAGGTTTTCTTTTAACCACACTCATCCAATCTCCTTTATCAACATCAGCCTTTAATTCCTCTTGGGATCTCCGCGAAGGATCAATCCCCACCGTAAAATTTAACCCAACCTCATCAGATCTTAACCCAAGTTTATTAACTGTAGCATCATGAACCCTAGTTTCTTTGGGTTGAGAGGAAATGGGTTTGGGCTTGGAAACAAAAAAAAGAATCAGAAATTAAAGCTGGAGCAGTTTCCCCCCAAATCTTTTGGGCCACAAAATTTGTTGTCTCAATTGGCCCAAAAAAATTTGCCGAATATTTCGAATTCTCCCCCAAAAACATCATATCAAACCCAAGAAAAAAGATCAAAAAAACCCGTCTTCTTTCCTTTTGATTCTAAACAAGATCAAAAACTCTCTCGATCGCCGCGAACAAAGAAACCCTGCCCTTTGATGACCAAGATTGCAGTTGAAGATGACGAAGTTTTTTTTTTTTTTTAAATCTCCGAAAAGAACAATCGAATAGATCAAACAAACAAAAGGACAAATCCTAACCCTTGAAATCAGAGACTAACAAACAATTGATCCGAAAACGAAATCAATGATCACAATCGAACACAAAATTGAAATCGAAAGAAACCCTAACCTCCATCTACATCATCGTAGTTTGAGATGTAATAGTCAATCACAGATTTTAGCTATAAACCCACAAATTAGGTTGCAAACTTGCCTATTAGGGAAGATCAGTTGATGTTTAGCTGGAATTAGTGCGATAGTCTCCGGTAGACTTAATGGCAGTCCCTTTCTTTAGACATTATTACTTTGTTAAGAGAATGTGATGTTAACAAAGAGGGTTAATCATCAGGTTGATAATTTGTTACTAAAATCGCCAAGAATTTGAGAGACTTTTCTGCAACAGGAGACTTGCTAGATGCAAAAGAAGAGAACTTTCTTCCTAATTGGGGAAGAATTTTTCATCGATGAACTATTATTTATGGTTATTATTTGTCAACAAAGGAAACTATGTTGATTTTCCTGTCTAAATATTTCCATTTGCCCCTTCAGTCTAAGTAACCATTTATTCAAATGAGAGCCGGCCGTAAGGACCAAAGAAAAAGACTATGAATTACAAGCTTGAATATATAAAGTCTAATAATTGTAATTTGTAAATGCATCTCATTGTTTATGACCAAGTGGACAAAGTATTACCATTATACTCGTCTATGATTCTCAGCAAAAAAAAAAAAAAGGGTTGAAAGTCATAGTTACAGTCACAACATGCAGCACACAAGACTTGATGGGGAATGCTAAAACAAGTGGCTTCCTTTTTTTTTTCTTTCAAAGTAAGGTAAGATTAAACCAATGGCGGAGCCAGTACCTATGAGGTAGTGGGGGCAATACATTGTAATAAAATCCACTAAAATAAATTTATTAGGATATTGTAATATTAGAAGAAAACATATTTTATAAATTTTCTCGATAATTAAGTTTTCATATTTTGGAATCTTTAATTAGAGATAATTAGGATGAAAGTTACAGTTAATTAGTAAGAAAGCGAGCCTTATGAAAGTCTAATTGCAGCTAACAAACATTCAATTATCATACTTCCTTTAAAAGAGGGAGTTGTGGAAAAATTTTTCATGGACTATATTGCTCTTATTCTTTTTTTTTTTAATATTATACTCCCTTTAATCGTATAATATGAGACCGGAGGCTTAGCTTATATTTATATAGTACAGAAGATGTGAAAAATTTTAAGCATCATATTTTGAATAAGTCTCTTAGCTTATATTTATATAGTACAGAAGATGTGAAAAATTTTAAGCATCATATTTTGAATAAGTCTCAAGATTTTGAATTATATATATAGTACAGAAGATGTGAAAAATTTTAAGCATCATATTTTGAATAAGTCTCAAGATTTTGAATTATATGAAATTATATACTTCGCTTAGAATCATACTCCCTTTAAAGGAGGAAGTTGTAGAAAAACTTTCTATGGACTATATTACCCTATTTTTTTAAATATTATATTTTAATCATAACTAAACTAAATTAGTTATTATTGTTAATTAATCATATTATATGCCACTTCAAGTTTGTCTAACTTGGTCCATAAAACTTTCAATGTTATTGTAAAAATCTCATGTTAATTATTAGTAATATCTAATAACATATTAATAGACAATTGCATGTTAACAAAATATTAATAGAAAAAGTAGAAAATTTAGAATTATCCTAAAATTATACTAGATAAATTTCAAAGAAATATCAACTGTAGTCCAATTATATATGAGATGACAGGTATGATTGGGTGATCACTTCCATCTAATCTTGTTTCAAAAAATTTATAATCTATCAATTTGATTGGATGCTATCAAAGAAAAGCTAAAGACTACTGGGTTCTAACAGAATTTGACTAAGGTGTAAGCGTGTGAAAAGATGGTAGCCATCAAACAGTACTGAATTATTTGTGCACATGTCTCCATATTAAATCCAAGGACCCAACAGCATTCAAAAAAGCCAAGTGCTCTATGGTTTCTTCTGAATAGAAAAACCTAAAATCTAGCTCTCTAATCCACAATTTAAGGGATTATGCGGTTGATAGGCCTTCCACACCTACAATTGTAAATAGGTTGAACTTAAAGGGTAGTTTTGGAGTTGAAAACATCATAGAAAAGGATAAAACTAATATTTGAGAAGGGTTAGTTTTCTTCAACTAATTTCTCACTTGATCTTTAACAAAATCTAATTTGGCCGTATTCTATCGTATTAGATTTCTCTCTTCTATTTTTCCTTCCATATTTATGGCAAAAAACTGGTATTATAATACAAAGTTGTGTTTAAAATAGATATTATTATAAAGTTGTGTTTAAAATAGATATTATTGTTCTTGCTTTTAGTCATATTGTATAAAATTATGCATAGCATGCATATGTCAATTCCTTTCTTATCATTATAAAGAGGAATAAAATTAACCGTCGATTGTAAAATTACACTTTTATTTTTATATTTTCACTGAAAAGATTTAGAACTAAGTCAGAGGATCTTTCTACATACTAACATTAACAATTTGATACCCCATTTACGAGAAAATATTCATTTAGAAATAAGTGTAATAAATTGTATTGATTTATATTCTTTTGTACATTTAAAAATCAAAATCTGAAAATTACACTATTATATGTTTGTTTAAACATGTATATAAGCTCCAAATTAGGCTAAACTAAATTATCAATTTTAACTAAATCTAAAAAGTATACCATGTGCATTGCACGTGTGCAATTCACCTAGTAAACGTGAATCAAGGGAGGTGGGTGACGTGGTTATGGACAGAGAAATAATAGGATAGGAATTGAAAAGAAAAGGACAAATGCACCCTTGTTATTTTCAGTCCAAAATTTTAATTTTCCATCTATTTAAAAATTATAAAAATTCTTATTTTCGGAACACCAAAGCATAACTCTTCAAAAAATTATGCCCAAAAGGGAAGGAAGACATTGAGGAGAGGACATTAAGATCTACTATGATGGCTTTTTTAGGGCTCCACGTATCATTAGGTTGTATAACACCAAAGCATTCATTTATAATTTATGCGGGGTTTTTCTTCTAGAAACCACCTTAAAAAACAAGGTAATTATACAGAAATCACCCCTTATTTTTAATACATAAATCATGTTTAAAGTAGTTTTTTTGGCAATAAACCCTCTCTCAGTCAAATTTACACTAAAAAACCAAAAATCAGTTTAAAAAATACAAATTCAATATTTGTGAGTTGTATCCTAATAAGACCTTAACACTAAAAAATGAATTATGTGCCTTGAATGTGAGTTTTTCAAGCATAATTTTGGGTTTTGATGAAAATTTTAATTGAGAGGCAGTTGACTGTAATAAAAACTCACTTTAAAAGTGGTTTATATATAAATTAAAACAAAATGTGATTTTCGTATAATTACCTAATTTTAAGATGGTTTCCGGAAAAAACCCATAATTTATTGACGTGTGAATTGCAACGCGATCCTAGAGTTAAGAATTGAATTGTATAAAATTATATTGCTACTAATTAAAATTAGCTATTGTACTGTACTGTTATAATGATCTAACTGCACGAGTATAGTATTGAGGATTGCATTAATACAATAGTGTAATTATACTAAAAAGTGATGTCATTTAATACTACTTAGTGATTATGGGCATGTTTGGTAGATGAAAAGCACTGTAGCTAATAATTGAACCATCCACATAAACCTAACAACTACAATGCATATCTATCCAAAATGGTTCAACACAGACGGAATTGCATAGAGCTTGTCACCTAGTAATTTTTAGTAGCCACATCATCTTACTATTTGCCTAAACAAACAAAGTAATTGATTGAAAGCTACTTGTAGCAATGTAGCCTGACAACTACAGTAACTCCCAAGCAAGAACGAACTCTGCTATTTGGCTCGCGGTTCAACCGCGAGCCCTCAACTCGCAGAGAGGTGAACACAGCAGTGGGGCCCGCCCCCCTATTCACCTCTCTGTGAGTTGAGGGCTCGCGGTTGAACCGCGAGCCAAATAGCTTTTTTGGCAAGAACGTGCCCAACCAAACAGGTCTTATTGAAAATTGATAGCGTATTCGTGTATGATTTCAATAAATTTCCTCGTTCCCATCTCAGTATGGAGTTCTATTCTATAAACCTTTTCCCCTCGTAATATCAATATCATCATAATGTTAGTAACATCACTATCAATATCTAATCCAATCAAAGTAACATCACTATCAATATCTAATCCAGTCAAAGTAACATCACTATCAATATCTAATCCAATCAAAATGACATGTAATTTCAAGAAAATTTTCACACGAAGGATCACGTTAAAACCAATGAAACAGGATATGGGTTTCACAAGAGAAAGATCAACAAGAAAAAAAAACTAGCAATTTAATAAAGGTTACCAGTTCATTCGCACTCCCACAACTTTTTTTCCAAAAAAGAAAAATAAAGTTCCACTCTGTTCAACAATGAACCAAAAAAAGATTAGTATCAAAGTACATAATATACCTAGATTCACATTTGATGGCTCCTTTCAAATACTACAGTAAAATTTAGCAACAAGAGAAAGTGTACTAGAGCACACTATAGTCTGCAAATCTAGTTAGTATAATAATCAATTGATAAGAGAGATGGCCATTGATTTTGGATGCAGAAATCATGAATGTGACCTCAGTGAGAACAAGCTTCAACTAGTCTTCTTCAAGAAAAATATCGTCTCTCTGGATGCTGCAGGTATCATATATCAATTATTCAAGGCTTCTCAAACCGAACAACAACGCAAGTGATGTTATCATTGCTTCCTCGGGCAAAAGCCTCTTCTATAAGCTTTCTTGACGCCACTTCAGCATCAGATATTCCATGCACTATGGCCACAGCATCCTAAACGCACAAGATAAAAAAGCACGACAATGACTATAGGTTAGATAGAGCCTAAGAAGAAATGAAAAATAAAACCATGAAACAAATATGACCATTTCATGCTGTCTGTCAACTTTTTTAAAATAATAGAAATAAGGTACTAACATAAAGAGTTACTTTCCCCACTACATTAACATTTTGTCAAAAGAGTCATGCTTCTTCATGAAGGATGGACATCTCATGCAATGATTAGCTACTTAATTGCAAGTTGGGAAAAAAAGAGTTTTCTGTGCATGTTTCAAATAATATGCATCAAATGCTACAAAATGCATAATTTAGAGCAGAACCTCATTTAGATTCATGGCTCTATGAGGTTTCAAACCACTGGTGCCAGATTTTACGTTCAAAATCTTTCACAGTATGAGTAGGATGAGGGGTACGCAACTCTCGATTATTTACAGCGTAAAGGACACAATTTACAAGATCAATATCATATCAGATAACTTTCATAATTATACATGTATTATCCATATGCATGAGCACAACAAAGCACATGCACAGGTGCACAGGCACAGGCACACATACAGATATATAATGCCTAATAATCAAAATGAACTCGAGTACTCTGTTAGTCTCATTGTAATCAGTGAGGATACTTCAAATCATGACGAAACGGACCATCAATATCAATATTGAGGAACTTAAAAAGACCTACAAAACAAATTAGTTAAGTGATCATAAAGTTAAAGCTACGGATCTAGCCTGAATCAATGGTTACAGTTTATGCTTGGTCCTCTTTTGGGCAACAGTTTGAGCCTAGTGTGAAATTAAGTATTGCATTGTTGAAAATTTTACAATAGCATATTATATCAATTGACCTCCTTACCCAGAGTAATTTAACAGATAATAAATGTTTGTTGTTGTCCAATATCTAAAAACATAATTGTTCAATACAAAATTACATAAAGCAACATGATTGATATCGAACCAATGGTCATCCTCCCTCTCCTTACATATATTTCAAGAAGAAAATAACAGCAACATACACATGCACGCACACCCCTATACATATATGTATATATCTGTGTATACATATACATACACGTGTATATATATACACATGTGCGTGTACACACATATATGTATATATGTATGTGTGTGTTTGATAGGTATGAGGTGGCGGAGCAAAAATGAGCTACTAAGAGAGAGATTAGTGAGACCCACACCTTTTGATGTGACGAGTAGGATGGGCTTCACCGCATGTCTATCTCTTGGTAGCTCATTTTACTAAATGAGCTGCCACCTCATACAAATTTTTTCATATATATATATATATATATATATATATATATATGTATATATATATATATAT